GCATGCAAGGCAAGTGCTCTACCACTGAGACACATTCCCAGCCCCTGATTATAGATTTTCTTTAGGGATATTTAAAAAAAAGAATTGTGAAAAAGAGAAGAAAGAACTTATGAACTTATCTGTAGGTGCTTCTGTGTGTCATTCATTGCAGGCCTTCCGAGTCTTGTCTGAACCATCTGGCCCAGAATCTTCAAACTCTAAAGAAAGTTCTAGAGCGTGGCAGTGTTCAAATGTACCAGAACCTGCAGTCTGTGGGATAAGCAGAATCTGGGTTTTCAGACTGAAAAGAAGAAAGCGCATTGCAAGAAGACTGGTAGACACTGTCAGGTAAAAAAACATAAAATTAATACTACCCATTTTCAGTCTCAGTCCTTAGCTTTCCAAGGACCTTTTGGCTCATGAGCCACCAAAGGGAAGGCACTTCTATGTAAATTCTGTCAGGCTGAGGCAAATGTTGGCTCTAGAAGCAAATAATAGATGTACAGGACTTTTCAAACAATCTGTGATAAAGGACTATTTGTCACAGATTATTGCTTAATTAAAATATAAGCTACAATGCTTCTGCCAAGTGCTAGGATTATAGGCATGTACCACCTTGCTGTTAATTTAGATTTTATCTTCCCTCCTCTCCTATCCTTTTTCTCAACCATTGTCTTTTATATGTTGAAGAATTTGAAGAGGGCTGGGAAGGTGGCTCAGTGGTAGAGCACTTACTTTGCATGCTCAAGGCCCTGGGTTCGATTCCTTAGCACCACATAAGCAAAAAGAAAAAAGCCGGAAGTGGCGCTGTGGCTCAAGTGGTAGAGCGCTAGCCTTGAGCTGAAGAGCTGAGGGACAGTGCCCAGGCCCAGAGTTCAGGCCCCACGACCAGACCCAAAAATAAAAAAAAAAATAAAATGTAACTGTTGCTGGGAGCCAGTGGCTCAAACTTGGAATTCTAGCTATTCAGGAGGCTGAAATCTGAGGATAGCAGTTCGAAGCTAGCCAGGGCAGGAAAAACTATGAGACATTTACCTCTAATTATATGACCAAAAGTGGAAGTGGAACTGTGGCTCAAATGATAGAGGCCTAGCCTGAAGCAAAAAGAAATTCAGGGAAAGTACCTGGGCCCTAGGTTCAAGCCCCAGGACTGACATAAAATAAACAAATTTGTAAATATTAGGCATTTTGTAATTAGATAAAAATTTTAGCAGGACATTGGTGGCTTCCACCTATAATCCTAGCCACTAAGGAGGCTGAGATCTGAGAATCACAGTTCAAAGCCAACCTGGGCAGGAAAGTCCATGAGACTTTTATCACCATTAACCACCAGAAAACCAGAAGTGGAGATGTAGCTCAAGTGGTACAGTGTTAGACTTGAGCTGAAGAGCTGAGGGACAGCCCTCAGGATTAGAGTTCAAGTCCCACAAACACCACCGCCACTACCACCATCAACAACAAAAGATTTAAATACTGCTACTTACCAGTCATATTTTCATCCAGTGGTAGAGAGACTCCTACATCACAGATTTTAACTGTTTCAAAATAACCTTTAATTACAACATTTGAAGACTTTATATCTCCATGAAGCAGTTTCTTTTCCTGGTGCAGATACTAAAATTGTAACAAATTAAACACATATGAAAAAAATATGAATAAAATTTTATTAAATTTCAAAATTAAAAAAACAACAAAATGTTGAACCAGGCACGATGGCTCACGTCTGTAATCCCAGCTACCTGAGAGGTAGAAATCAGAAAGACAGTACTTTGAGGCCAGCCTGGGCCTCAGCCAGCAAGCTAGGAAAGCATTTTTCACTGGACCTATATATGTATACTTAATAATGTCAAAACTTACACCATCAAGATTAAGAAATCATTAAGAAATTTGTTTTTATTAATGAGTAGGTTAGGGTATACCTCCAGGAATAACTACTAAATGTGTACTAAGTATATGAATCCATCTAATGTGATTTCTACTATAAAACTACCTTAGCTTATTTCAAGCCAATGTGAGGGTTTCAAATAAGTCTCTGCTGATAGAAATAAAAAAATGGAAGACTCTCTCCTTGAGAGGCAAAAGCATTCACTGTGTAATTCGATGTTCAAGGACTCTGAGCTTCATCCCAGTTCACAGTAAATGTAAGGGGGTGATTACCTTCAGTCCTCTCGCCATATGCAAGGCAACTTTTAAAATTATAGCTGCTGGAAAAGGATCTTGGCTTTCTTTATTTCGCTCTTCTATCAAGTCATTTAGAGACTTTTCTCCTCCATACTCCATAGCAAGGCAGAGACTACCATCACTGGCCTCAGTAAAAGCACGATAACCTAAAGAAAATGTTAACATTTCTTTACTAGAAAAGAGTAAACAATGGTAATTGGTTTTTACAGTAATAGGACTGAAAACATGGATCAACACTAACCATGAAATAGCTATTATGTACAAAACTAACTCAGTACGTGTAATTTTAGATGTTAGTGTTAGCTTGTTAGCACAAGCCAAAACATTTTTACTATTTTATGCTTCCCTAAATAGAGTGATTTCAGCAGCCTTACATGTACCAGAAAAGTAAAATGAAAACCAGGAATCTAATTTACTACTTAATAGAGACCAATTCACTGTAGCACTGTAGTGGCTACATTTATCCTCATGAAGTATGACTATGGAGTTTGTATTTCATGCACATTTTTATTTTAGATAGCTCATATTAATTTGCTTCCCAACAATCTATGCATCTACTTCATTTTGATTAGTAAAATCAGCTAAGAAAGGGTATACAATGTTTCTAGATATCCAGAATAACATAATGCCTATTACCACTGAATTAAAACTTACCTATGATATTTGGATGATGAAGACTTTTTAAAATCTTTGCTTCATCAGTTAGTCTCTTCTGGTAAATAGTCCGATAATGATCATTACATATAGGATTTATCTTTTTTACAGCCCAGGGAGAATGAGACAGGCCTCTTGGAGATCTAAATGTGTATGTATATACACACATATATATAAGCTTAAAAGTATAGAAATGAATAAAAACTATAATACATTTTCAATGATAACAAGAACTTTCTAGTTTTTTATGTTTAACTATTCTTAACAGTATTTTAGACTATCTGAAGTTCTATTTCAACCAGAGGATGACTGCCTGATCAATTAAACACTGGGAGGAGGAGGAAGGATGAAGAGGGGATGTTATAAGCGTTATAAATTTCAAATGTGATATTGGTTTCTGAGGTATTCACACAGTGAGACCAAAGAAGGATATCTTAGGGGAGGAACACAAAGGTCCAATGCCTCCGCGCCTCTCATCATCCAATTGCGGGAAATGGAAAAAAAGCCAAATTTGAAAATGCCAATGTTTAACTTTCCTACTTCAGCATGTCAGGATACAAACTACTTATAATAGTCATATGTATCAGAGATGATGCATAGGATGCTGCAGTCATAATGAAATTTATGAAATTTAACTTGAGAAGAGATGAGACCCACGTGGCCCCTCTATGATGACCTGAAGAACAGCACTGCACCTCAACAGAAGTCACCTTTACCTTTCACCCATGCCCAGGTGGGCGTAAGGGGAGAATAATGAACATATAAATGAGAAAAATGCCAAATTTTAATTTTGTACTTGGCCATTTTAATAAAGTCTTACATAAGGCAGTAAAGGAAAAAAAATTCAGGGCAAGGTTTATCTGACAAGTATATAGTATAAAAGTCCAAAGATAGGGGAAGAACCTCAGAAGAGCAAGACAAAATTTAACCTTAAGATTTAGAATGGGGCTGGGATGTAGCTCACTGGGCTGGGATGTAGCTCAGTGGCAAAGCGCTTGCCTAGCAAGCGCAACGTCCTGGGTTCGATCCCCAGTACCAAAAAAGAAAAGACAAAAAAAAAAAAAGATTTAGAATGTTCTTAGTACTCCCAAAATACTTAGGGTGCAATTGTTTTAAAAGACAACTAAAAATATAGAAAAAAAAAAGCCAAGCAGCCTCAGAATATAAAGTTGATAAAACCTTGCAGAGAACAGAATGAAAAAAAAAAGATAAAAAGTAGGATAATCGAACAAAAATAAAAGATCAGCCAGTAAGTTAACATTCAAACAGGATTCCAGATTTAAAAAAGGGGGGGGGGAGCTGGGAAGGTGGCTCAGTGGTAGAGTGCTTGCCTTGCATGCATGAGGCCCTGGGTTCGATTCCTCAGCACCACATAAGCAG